AGGGGCTATATATATATATATATATATAAAAAAAAAAATTTCGTGATTCTCGAGTTAAAGCACATAGAAAATAATAATACTAATAATTAACCCAAGATGATAATACCTCCGCAGTTCCGAGATTAAATCAAATTTAATTTAAAAAAAAAAATCGATAATGATAATTAACCCGAGATATTAATACCTCCACAATTACGGGATTACATCACATTTAATAGAAAATAAAATAAATATCAATGATATCAGTTAGTCAATGATTTCGTGATTCGGGGAATAAAGCGAGTATTTTTTTTTAAAAAAAAGGGGGAACTTAATTAGAGTGCCAATAAATGATGCACAAAAAGTTAAAAATGTTGGATATGTTAACCAAAGTAATAAATTAAAGTAAGGGATAATTTTGAGAGATGCCGGGATCGTAAATCAAAAGTTGGAAATAGAACTTGTATATAATTGGAGAATAGAATAAAAAGGAGTGACAATTGGACTAGGAAACAAATAAAAAGTGGTTCCAAGTTGGACTGAAACACGGAAAAAATTTCGGCAATGACAGTTGGAAGCGAGACACAAACAAGGAAGGTTCCAATAATTGGGCGTTAAAAGGGGAATTTTACAAATGCAAAATTAAAATTTTTTTTTTATAATTGTTAATTTTGTTAAAGAAAATTTTCCTGTATTTATTCATTTTGACCCAAAAGAAAAGTGAGTGAAAACTGTTATTAATTTTTTTTTATATATTATACCTTTTCCTTAAAAAAGAATGTCGGGGAGGCATCGGTGCATATATTGGGAGAATTTAACCGTTAGGATAAGTATTTATCGAGGATATGTTAATGAGGATGGGCGACCGATCTCGCCTTTGAATTACCGAAGCATAATAGACCATTCGCCTCCAATACGCCGAAACAGTAGATCGCCCCCGGTCCAAAGGGGAGTGTCCGGAATAATAACGAACAATTTAGATCACTCCGAATTACCGGAGCCCCGGCACCTCAGCATGCGCTCGAGGAGGAGACGTTCTTGTTACTTGTGTGGTTCGCCTAGTCATTTGCGAATGCGGTGCCCCCGTGGGCCAAATCGTAGGCAAGACTTAAATGATAATAGGGAAACGACGAGCCACAGAAGCCGAAGCCCGGGAAGGAGCGACGCACGCCCAGTTAGGACCATTTTGCCGCCTTTGACGATAGGGGCAATGCCGCAACAAGATCCATCCATAACTGCGATGGGGCGACCGGTGGGGATTATTGAGCCGTTTCGAGAAGAAACGCCGGAGGCGAGTCCCAGGGCCTATTACGCTGAAGAGTGGCCGATGGTTGATTTGTCGGCCTCTGAGATTCAGGAATTGTTGGAGGATGTAATGGGACCAGAATAAATTTTACAAATTTTGTAATAATAAAACAATTTTTTTTTTAAAATATCATTTTCCTTAATAGATTTTCGGGGAAGATACGATAAGATATTTTACATCATATATTTTTTTTTATTTATGTTAACATATGTAGAGAATAATAAATAATTACATTTTGATTTTATGTACAAAACCCCCTTGTTTATCTTTGTTAAACAACAATTTTAATTTTTTTTGTATGTTCAAGGGTTTTCATTTAATGGGGGCGTGTTATAAATAGTTTTATTATTTTCTTTGTATGAGTCATGAAATATTTTTTTTTTGTTTGAAATTTTATTTTTAATATTTTTTTTTAGTTTCGCGCAGTCATCTTGAACGTCATTATATAAATATTTTTTTGTTTGAAATTTTATTTTTAATATTTTTTTTGTTTCGCGCAGTCATCTTGAACGTCATTATATAAATATTTTTAATATTTATTATGTAAAAAAAAATAAATAATAATTTAATATTTATAAAAAAAATAATAATCTTATATAAACTAAAAAAAAGTGGAAATTCATTATTATTATCAATTATATTTTTTTTATATTTATTGTTTTAAAGAAAAATAAAACCAATTTATTCAAAAAAAAAAGGGGTAAAAAAAAAATAAATATACTGTTAAGTTAAACATTTCTGTACGGTGAAATTTTGAAATCGATTAATTGCAGTTTTTATCATATGAATGCACATTAATTTCATTTAATAGACGCCCACAAAATGGTGATATGAACACTTAAATACATTTATTTATATATCATTTAACTACATATTTTAAAAAAAATATCAGGCATAACTAAAGAATAGGGTATTGATGTGTATTAAATGTTATTTATTTTTATTAAAATATTAGATAGCGCCATGATTTATCGTTATATTCAAGAATAAGTTGTTTTCAAGTAGCATCTATATCATCCACCATATATATCTGGGTTCGAATCAGTATGATCGGGTTTTTTCATGGTTTATGGGTTACGGGGTATGCTATGAAGAATATAGTAAATAACTACGTGATTCTCTTGATAAATATATATATATTGTTACAGATTAGTAACAAATTGTGATTACTTAATCAATTTACGTATTATATTAATATATTACTTTTTCTTTTTATTATTACTTGTATTTACCGAATCAATTTATATTACTTTTTTACAAAATGTTTTACTTGAGGCTGAAAATATATTTTTATATATAAATATCGCGTAAAGATTGAAATAAAAAATGTTACACATCTTAATAAAAAGAAATATTATAAGTCAATATTTTACATAGACTAATACACATTCTACAGGCTAATTCCCTCCAATACCGACTAATGAGAGACTATAACAATTCTCAGGGCAAGACCTTCCCCGCTTGTCAATATTTATAATATATATATAGCTAGCTATGTGACTCGAGGTCAGCTGTGTTTAAAATATTTGCGAAATAAAAATATCCGAATATTTTTAAATTTAATTAATGTTTGTATTGACAGGGGAAGGCTACTACACGAAAGCAAAAATTGGAGGCAACACGTTTGGGATTCACCTCCCCCAAAAAACTTTTTTACTTACCCCATGGTAGCTGTTGTTAAAAAGCCCGATTCGTATCGATTTTAACAACAACCAGATTAAAATTATAACTAAGATAACATTATGTAAACCTCAGTGACGAAGCGTCAAGTTTACTATTTGGAAAGCAATCAAAAAAAAATTTTTATTTTTATTTTAGTCAAACTCAAACCATAAAAACATTAACATTTATAAATAAGTGGTATTCGTCTTTGTTTTTGAGTGAAATGATCAAGTACTGCATTATAAAAGTTATCGCTAGATTTTAAATTTTTAATAATTGTTTTTTAATCGAAATTAAAGATAGATTCAAATCGATTTTGGCTCATCTTGTTTCTGCAATAAGATCTGATTCTTTTTAAAAATGAAAAACTCCGTTCTGCAATTGCTGTTGTTGAAGCCAAAGTTAAGATGAATTTGCATAATTTAAAAAACTCTAAAACTTTTCATCAAATCGGTGCATATTAAAAATTCAAGTATTTCATTAACATTCTTTTTCTTTCTAAATTCAATATCCCGAAACACTACCTTTAATTCGGTTTCCAGCTTGTGTAAGTCGAAAAATTAAGAATAAGTGTCGTTTAAATTATCTAATAAATATTTTGGGAAATTTTGATTATTTGGAATTTACTAATGTCTAACAATTCGACGAATTTAATATTTTTTGGTGTAAGACATATGAAATAGAATTAATCAAATCATTTTGAATATTGCTTGATAGTCCAATAAAAACTGTACTATTTCTAAATGACTTTTCAATATAAATTTTCTTCCGCGAGTAAATAAATTAATTCAATATAATTTCCTCTATTTACTGAATTAGAAGATTCATCATCACCACTGAATACGAGCTCCTGAATTCGAAGTAAACATATAGAGTTGATCAATATTTTATTTCTCTATTTGATTTGACTTTAGTATTTTCAATACGATTTTGGCCAAATGTATTTAATTGAATCATCGACTGCAAATAAATGGTTAATTCTTTGCCGTTTGACTGCCTTTAAAAATTATACATATCCGAAAATCCTTTATCATTCCAAACATATTTTTTCTTTGGGAATAATAGGCATGACCAACAATATAGAGAATTGGAAAATTCACATCCAGTGTGAGCCATTCATATTTTTCATATTTATCGATAGATAAATTATGGATGCAAGTTTTGATTTCCTTTTTTAAGTTTTGTAAAATTGGTTTTGGTCTTCCTTCTTCAGTAATCAATTTTCGCACCAAAATTTCTTTAGCTAAATGATAATGTTAATAAATTTTCAATCATAAAATTACAATTATTAAACATTAATTAAGGATTTTAAAAACGAAAATTTTTTTTATTTTAATAAAAGTAAGAAAAAAAATATTATATAAAAAAAATTTCATTCTCTTTTATTTATTTTAAAAAATAAGCATTTTTTTATTTGCTTCCCCAATTCTTATTTTTTAATGGTAAAATTACACAATATCATGGCATGCATGATTTTCTCTTTATTTATTTAAAAAAATAAGGAATATTAAATTTGCTTCCCTTATGTATATTTTTTTTAACGTAGTAAAAATTATAGTAAATTTTTTTATAGTAAAAATAATGTTAATTTTTTAACGATATAAAAATTATATTGATTTTTTTAACGAAGTAAGTTAAGTTTATTTAGCATAGTACAAAGATTATATTAAGTTTATTGAATAAATTTGGAAGAAAAATTTCAAGAGAAACAATGCTTCCCTTGCTTCTATGAACGCTTCGTCACTGGTAAGTACTAGAAATGCTTGGACATCTATTTGCCAATCTCTATGCTTACATAATAATATTTTAACCAAAATCCTAATCGGGCCATTTTGAAAAATCAACCCAAATAGGGCTTTTTAGCAATACTAAAGGCTCCCACTAGAGGCCAATTGCTTCTATACCCCCCCTCTCCCTCCCCCATACCGTCCTTCGTTTATGTAGACACTGACTTATATTAAAATATTGAACATTTTATATTGAGCTTATGTTAACTTAACAAAACTCAGCAAACCTAAATGCATTAAAAATTTATAATTTTGATCTCACGTGATTTCCCACCCATCTTGTTGTTAACTCCATTTTTATATGTATAATAGATGTGATAAATCCAATACCCGATTCATGTCATCGTTGAAATCTTTGAAATCGGCTCCATCGGAACAAGAGACTTTCGTTTGTTTTAGAAATGAAACTGATCTTTCAATTGATGTCTATTGGATAAATTACAAAGGAGCAAGTTATCTTAATTTATGAAACATGTTAATATTTTGGGAAAGGGGTTAAATATAAAACATTGACGCCTTCACAAACCCTAGATGTAATAACCTTTGTAGGTCACCCATGGATTTTTGTCATAAACGGAACGGGTAATATATAAAATATTGCATATCTTAAAATTTATGTCATAAGGTTTGAGATATTATGAGAAAAATTATTATTTATTTATATATATAAGATAGTTTTTAATATATTGTCATGTATATTTAAATTCTGACTGTATATATTAATTTTTAAATTATGCATGCATTGAGAAATTTGATAAATTTTTTACAATGTTTTCTTTTTTTAATAAAAAATATATAAAGGGCAAAGAGTTCTAGCAAACAAAAAGTTAATTTTTAAGCCCAAATGTTATATCCATCCAATTACTCATCATATGGTCAGAAAGCTTGTTTCATTAACAATTCCAAGTGTGCAATATACATTATTTGTATTTATGCCTAACTTTATTTTTTTAAAAGTCTGTACTAATAGCTTTGTTTATTTTTTGAAACAATTAATATGCTAAAATTAAGTTGTTTAGCTGAGAGCCTCTGTTTTTACCACAAATTAAACCAAATGTTGTTTCTTCTATCAAATTATTTATTTCATATCTTGTAAAATATTTAAAACATTATTATTTCAACTGGGTCAATTTAAATACCTGAAAATTAGTGATCTACATTGGGCCTTATTTATCAAGCCTGGCCTGGCCCAAAATTATTTTTAAAAATTTGTCTGGCCCAATCCTTAAAATTTTTCTTAAAAAGCCCCACCCAAAATAAAAATTATTTGTCTGCCCAGCCCAACTCGAATTTATTTAAATATAGAAAAATTATAAAAAAAAATTTTGATTGAAAATATTAGCACCTTGTTTCTTGCAGGAATTTTAAAATATATCAATTTGTTTGACAAAATGTAATGATATAAAAATTAAAACCAGCTCAGAACCTGTTTGGGTTGGGCTGTGATTTGCAGATCTTTACTAGCAATATCATTAAACAGGATTTATCTGATGAATTAGTGAGTCATGATTTGTGTGAATTCAAAAGAGAGTTGAACATATTCTCATTTTGCAATCAGGAGTAACAGTAAAGCAAATAAAAGATGTGATCTCTGTTTGTCTAATAATTAAGTTGCTTCCAGGTGGCCATTATATAGTAGTAAAATAAATTTATTTAAAGTAAAAGATTATGCATTGGATCTGGTCATATCTATCATTTTGATATATAGATTTAATTTTTGTATTTATACCTAGGATTCATGTATATTACATGTCTAAATTCTAAGGCTGTGCTGTAAATTTTTCACTGATCCGTTATATTTCTATTTACCATTATTCTTTTATCAATGTTATCAATATTAAATACTTTTTTAAAAAACCTACTAACTTTCACAGATGATTAATTGTTTTTTATTTTTCATAAGTTAATATACTCATATAAAATATTTGAAATGTTTATGGTTGAATGTAGGTTGTTGAATAACTCAATTTAGTCGATTTGGGCTTAATCAAAATTTAATCCAAAATATTATTACCTATGCCACAAAATTACGCCATGGCTATGAGTTAATTAATCGTTTTTAAACTTGACTAAATAAGCGCAACATTAATTGAATTTGACTAGTTAGATGTTTTAAATCCATTTCTTTTTACAGATAATATAACAAAAAATAGTGTAAAATTTTAATCTATTTTTTTAAACATTATAACAAATAAATTGTATATTAATTCTTTTCATTAATTTATTATTTATAAAATAAAAATAATTATAAGATTATACATATACTATTATAAAATAAAAACAATTTTAAAAAAATATAGATTCTGTCAGTCTTTAAAAGATCGGCCCTATCTGATATTTTCTAAAAACTCTAAATATCAGCACAGCCCTACTAAATACATTATTTCGAAGTGATGAATCTTGATAATCCAATTTAGTAAATTTAGAGAATAAGTCATTATCTCTTCCAAATCCAATATATAAGCCAAAATTTAAAAATAAATCACCTATTATGCAAGATTTATTTTGTAATTTGGTAGTACATATATATAGTATTAATACAGTCATACAGATTTGAATTATATCCCACATGTGGGAATCCATTAAGATTTCTGGGTACTTAAAAGCCTTTATCATTTAAATTTTTCTATTGAATATCTGCTATTCCATCTAGTAAAAGTGCCAAACCTGATTTGCTTTTTTCAAGTGAGCATACATGAATTATATGAAGGACCATCCTGCATTTAATTATGCCGATTTTTTTTATCAAGGATATCAACAAACCTTGTGTAGAGAAATCGAAAATGAAAAAATATTTATTTATTATTATTATTATTAAAAAATGTTCATCCACATACTATATATATATTATATAAAAATATTAATTAGAATACATATAATCAAAACGAAAAACAAAAGTAATAATAGGTAAAGTTATAAAAATTAAATTATATAAAATTGAATTGTAAAAGGTTAAATCGTAAAAGGTTGAATCGTAAGTCAAAAAGCAAAAATGAAATAACAGTACAAATTTGAATATATAACACCTTGTAATCCAGATATAAAGTTTTATAAGGGTGGAACTATATCCGAGCCATATATATGTGTTTAGCAATGAGTATTGTAATGAAAGAAGTAGAATATCCTTCCAAACATACTTATAAAAATTTAAGGAAAAATAGATTTAATATTATGGTTTTTATATTAAACTACTCTAAATTTCATTTAATAAACATTAGATAATATCAATTTACTCTAACGACTAATAATCTTATTCAAGGGTCAATGATTAAAAATAGTATAGTTTATATACAAGTATTAAGTCACAAAGTAATATAAGAAGATATTTAAATATTTTATTGAAAATAATAAAAATTTACCTTCATCATCAACAGTCGTTCAATTAGGTTCATAATCCACTTAAATAAACGTCTATTTGTTGCAGCCCATTTAATAAATTCCAAAGAGATAAGAAAGGTTTAATGGATATTTTTTCAGGGAAAATTGTATCTAGTGCTTTATAAAGACCTTATTGAATGGTTTTATAATTTTACCAAATTAGGGCCATATAATAACGCATTTCAAAAATGACACCATCACTAAGGGCTTATTTTTTTAAAAAAAGAATCAAGTAACTGCGCTACTTTTTGCGTTATTCGTTACTTAATGTTTTATTGTCTAATATGTATATTTAAAAAATATATATATAAACAAATTATACATATAATATCTTATTTCCTTCTTTTTCCAGCTATATTTTTATTGGTCTATTGAATTCCAGGATAATTTTATGTGAATTTAAAGGTCTATATTGGGCGGGTTTATAATCCGACTGGCCTACCCATTGTTTAATAAAATCTCACTTTTAATTTTTTATTTAATTAATTGGTTGCATTTTTGTATATTTTATTTTTATTATAACCTACGAAATAAATTTAAGCCCCTTTTGCTCATACGCCAAAAAATATTTTGAATTCACCTTCCCGTCTTTGTTTTAAAAAATTTTATACCTTTGCACACAATGTTTAAAACTTTTAGCCCGCCCAAATTATTGGCCGATGGGTAATCACCCCTCCCATAGCCGACCTTACAAATATAAAATAAACAGTAGTTTCTTTTTTGAGGAAATATAAAAATAACAAATAATGAGCAAATTAATTCTCGAATTAAATGAATAAAATTTGAATAGTGTTTTTCCTGTGTATTCGGAAACTAGTGCGAATTTTAAAAAATTAATTTGTGTTAACGGATCATATCCGGTCACATTTTATTTATTTCAAATTCTTATATTTTTTTTTATATCTAGTTTACTCGTTGAAAGAGTGTTGCTTTAATTCCTTGAAACATAAAAATCAAAATTCCTTGCCCTTGCCACCTCAGCTCTCAAACGAATTCAAAAAATTCCTGACGCTTAATTCACAATAACTGGGTTAAATATACTGCACCTAATTTTTTCTAGCTATCTAGACATCAGAAACATATTTTTTTTTAAAAAAAATACACATATTATGTACCATATTTATAATGATATCAGTTGTTAATTTTTTTTAAAAAAATATAATTTGTCTTTTGTATTATTTATTTTTTATATTATAAACCATTAATTTCAATCATATTATGATTATATAGTTTTTTTTGTACATAATAGATGTTAAATAATAATTAACAATAATAAAAAAAAGAGTCCGAAATATTTATATTTAAAGTATTGCGTCTTAAATTTATGGGAAAATTTTTTATTTTTTTTCTGTAATCAAGACTAAGGAACTCTCCGAATCAATTTTTCGACCCCCGCTCGCCTAAAACCCACCCGGTGGCAAAAATGTATCAGTCAACGCCCGACTATGATCAATTAGGAAATATAGCTCAAACCTAATACTTTAATATTAGCATTATTATATTAGATTTACTATAAAAATATTATATGAAATGTATTCCTATCCTATTTTTTTCATTCATTTTTTTATTTGATATTCAAATCTGGTAAAAAAAAGAAAACGGAAATGTAATATTTTTGAGCCGAACCTATATTCTATTTCAGAGTTGGAACTAAAACCGGCCCTTTAGGATTGTTGATTCCGATAATAAAAATGATTAAATTAAGTTTTTGGGGTTTTCATGATTAAATAAGCGTTATGGCTTCTTTTTTAGTTTATTTTGAAAGTAACGAGTAAAGTAACTCCTTGTTGCGAACAGTAACGTATTTAGAGCACTATAAAAATTAATATTAAATCATTTCTTGTTTTTTAAATTAATTAATGAAAATCAATCATGTAAAAATGTATTAAAAAAAGGAAGAAATTTAATATTAGTATATTTTTGCCATGGGCCTAGCATTTTTATTAATGTTGTTGCCACCGGGCCATTTTATTTGCTAGCTCATAGCTATTATACTGATTAACAAAATATTGACATATACCTGTGTTCCAATTGAACTGATACCCTTTTTACTTCGGCAATAAATCTGTCAATTCTATAAATAATTCAATATTTAGATTGAAAGAGGGATAAATTTTGGTTTTCTTCAAATTCTATCAACACGGTCCAAAGTTATCCATGCACATATCGTACCATGGAATAATGTTGATGACCGACCTGGCACCCGCAGAAGAATTCGAAGTATCCCGAGAAATTGGTATCTCTCTAACTTCAGCGCAAAATTATCCACAAAAGCTGCAGCTGAATTGTGATTGCCTGTCTAGTTACGTACCAAACAATTTCTACTATCAGAAGTTAGTTCATTTCATATGTTTCATAGATGCGAAGTTGTACATACCGATAAATCTACAAAATGATGGATGTACCAATGAGGAAAAAAACTAGTTGCAGCCAATCGATAACTAGTACAACTTTTGGCTCATTAATTTTAAATGTTGATGTTTTTGTCGAATTGTAAAGTTTAATAATAAAATGAATTTTTCCATGTAAAGCTTGAATTTTGTGTATCCAACTTTTAATGTGCATAACTTTGGACTCTGTTGATGAAATTTGCAGAGAACATTTTTAATTTACCTCTCAATCTAAATTTTATAAAATTATTTTTAGAATTGATAGATTTATTGTTAAAGCAAAAAGAGTGTTTTATATGCAATTTTTTATCAGAATCTCCGTGAAGTTGGCTAAGCGCAAAAATATTTTTCTAAAAATCATTTTATCTTATAATTGACCATTTTTTTGTAATTGATTCTCATCTTAATTGATATAACAATTAACAATGGGTGATTTTTATATAGTATGGTTATAAATGCAAAAAACAAAATATATCTCGGACATCACTAGTTTCTTAAAATGAGATGAAAGAGATAATATTTAAAAAGCATCTACACTATTTTGATCCATGATATAAAGTCATTTATGGCGCTCAATGAAAAAAAGGGGCAAGCGGCATCATATCAGGTAAGATATAGAGTTGAATGATTTGCCGTCTCATAGTTCAATTCTTGTAAGTTGATGATGAAATTGGAAACGTATTTTTATCTCAAATATAGCTAAAGGTGACGAGTTAGGACTATGGGTAAAATGGTAAAAGATTTCTAAGCAGTGTAGGATGAATTTAGAAGGTTATTATTGGGCTGCTGTTCGTCAAACGGGATATCAAAAATAATAAATGAACATAAAATTTAATGGTTATAAATTGAAACTTCCAATTTTAGAATGTAATTTTAAGCAACGTCAATTTAACTTTTGAAATATTTTTTTAAAAATTTATGAAAACTATTAATAATTTCACAATTTTTATAAAAATGATATGTAAATTTTCAAAGATTTAATTTAAAAAAAAACTTATATTTCTTTTAAGATATCTTCTCCAACCCTGATAAACCTTACGTTTCCATGACCCTTCACAATTAGTGAAACTGGTTAATAACATAATAAGGAGATTTATTTCATATTCTTTAACTGTTTGAACACCAAAACTTAGAGGAAATTTGAATTTAAATATTAATTTTGGATATTGATTTATTTTATTGTAAGCTTAAATTACAAATTTTTTAAAAAATTGCTGTATTAATTTTTTTAGGGAGAAGGGGTGGGTTGGCAGAGGATATCAAAACCTTTCTTCTGCTACACCTATGTGATTACTTAATGTTCAAAGGCCCCTACACTTTCTGAGCGATGGAAGCAAAATACCCCCCTGAAAAGTACCCCCCCCCCTTCTCTGAAAAACGGTTAATTATTAGGGAAAACAGAAAATCTTTATAGTAAACGATAAGGTAAAATAAATTAATCATTTTTTTCTGAATAATAGGTCTCAGAATCATCAGAAAAAGAAGTTAAATAATTTATCAATATAATTATTTTAATAAAATAAATTTATAATATAAGAATCTAATAAATCTTAAGATTCTTTAACCTCCAGGTCATGTGTAGCATCCCTCGTTTTAGCCATAATATAAATATTTCGAAACTTGACATTTTTCAAAAACTTGACTTGTATTTAAATGGTAAAATTCACAGATATCCTCTATATCATCCTTGACGAATGATATCGTGTGAAATGATTAATTAATAATATTTTATTTTGGTTAATATTTTGAAATTGGAAAATAATTTTATAAGACAAGAAATCTTTTGGTTATGAATAGGTGTAGTAAAACGAAAAATATTAAAATTATAAAAATTTTAATAAGCAGTTGCCCCCCCCCCCTCTTCTCCCGACTGTTAATGTCTAACGATTGATTGAGATGGCATCTATTCCGTCAGCTAGCGTTGAGGGTATATTACCATTTTTAACTCACGAAGGTTAAAGAGACTTTTTAGAAGCACTATTGAAAAGCAAGATTGAGAAGCTTAGCCCCAATAAATATTAACTATTAATTTAATGATGATGAAAGTATCCTTGATATATTTATCACCCCAGAGATTGTTTTCAAAATAATATTATTTTGTAAACCTTTATCATATTTTCAGTTTACAAAATAAAAGAATTTTTAAAAATCCTTATTATTATTTATAATTATTTATTTTAACAATTGACCAAAATATATTCTTAAATAAATACTTATAATCAGAGTTTAACATTTGATATTAAAAAAAAAAGATTTTCTTGAGAGTGCTCAGACAGGATTTTAAATTACTTAAAATTTTGTATATTTTTAATAAGCTAAAATCCCCGAGGTGGATTAATTTCTTTTTGAAAAATAAATTATACTTGAAAGAATAACTATGATAATTGCCGCTTGCAAAGTGAGTAAAGTCTCCTTCACCAGCTTGATGCCGACATCTGATTAATTAGTTTTATTATCAAAGATATCGCTTTTACATTGAAGAATTATTATATCAACTAAATAATATCATCACCCTGTAGAAATCCCCATTTATATTATTTTATCACTAACTTATTTTTGGGTACTTTTTATTTAAAGATGCTATCTGCTGAAATTGGCAGCAATATAAGATTTGCGATCTAATTTTTAAATAAGTTTAAATTTATAATTATTTTTATTAAATAAACATAATACTTTCTTGAGACAGACCGTTAGATCTTGAGCTGTATTTTTGGGTACTGATTTAAGAATAATTATCTAAGCTTTACCTGTTAAAAGTAATTATTTTTAACGCATTGGCATAAATGAATAGTTGACACCGCAGATCTCTAAACATTGTCATATTTTTTGTTGCTATTATACCTATTTTAGTAGGTGGATTTGGCAATTGGTTAATACTCTTAATACTTTCTTCTTCTGACATAGCTTATTTTATTTCTCTTTTAATACAGGTTAAGAAGAAATAAGCAATTATGTATGGATACAATTTCATTATTATTTACATTTATGTATATATTATCAATAAAGTCTTTTATAATATTAATCCCTAGAGCGTGCCTTTTTTACTTCAGCCACTATAATTATTGCTATTCCTACGGGTATTAAAAAAAATTCTGGATGTCCAAAAAGTCATAATAAATGTTGGATTAGTCATAAAATTTTGGCCTTAATATTAGAGATTAATAAATAAATAGTAGGCAATGATATTTAAATTTTTTTTTAAAACTTATTTCAAACATGTTTTTACATTTTCTTCTTCTGCTGAAGAATATTGGATAATATAGCACTAATGATTAATATGCTGTTTAGCTTTTATTTTTTGCATGGGTTATACATTTATCTTCTATTCAAACTAATGGGATAGTTAATGTTTAAGATTTTCATTTTGTTTTAGATATTATCAATTATACCTCTTAGGCAAAATAATACGATATTCTTTCAGAACTCTTATCCAAATTTGTAGTCTCTGCAACATTTTATAGAGTAAGCACACCTCGAGATCATAGTAATTAATGTAAATTCATAGTGTGTTTATTTCTATAGTGAGATAATGCAGCACTTGGCATTTGTCTCTTTAAAAAAAATGTGAAAATTTCGACAATGTATCTAAATAATTTATCTAAAATAGGGCTCGATTGAGTAAGTTAAAAATAGGATGTAACTTTTAAAAACTCTTTTTTAAGATAAGAATTTTCACCGGTATAAAACAAATTGGTTACGGCAGCCTTTGCAAACATTCCATCATATTTTAAGTTTTTATTGATACTACAATACATGTCATACTAAGTCGTTTTCCTTTTGATTTTATATTGGCCAGAGTTAGTCATGATGGAATAAAAATCGAAATATCAGATTTAGGTATTTAAAAAAAATATTGTCCTACAAGTGAAATAGACGGTTGTCATTTTGATTCTCTTCTTCGTCAAATTCAAACTACTAGACATATCAATATTTCTCGTTATTATCATTTTTTAGGTGATTATATTAAGGCGGGTTCACTAAGGCCAGACACAAGTAGTAAAACTGTTTAATAATGCTATTCGACAATAATTATGTGATGTATTTTATCACACAATGTTCTCAAAAACCAAATTTTAGCAAAATAAAATATTACCCAAGCTCTCGAAATTTCAAATATGGATGGTAGAAAGATGTGGACCTCTTTTGGATAAATCTCGAGACTAGGGTAATATCGATATTGCCGCTAATTTTTAAAAATCAACATATACTAGAAGAACATTCTAGAGCATTTGACCATATTTGACTATTGACCAGTCAATCAACCGACTGGCTAACCTTGGTTTTAACTTTAATGCAAACAATATTGTGATTTTATGCTGAAACCAAAAAAAAGGAACCACCCTCTAAAAAAAATTCTGAATTCATCATGAATATATAACTTGTTAAAAGAGATATCTAATAAATGCATCTGGAATATCTAGGATTTCCAAATATATATAAGTAAAGTAGGCACACTTTCTAGTGATTTCCGTTAAAATAAATAGTGATTAATTTAAGATACAACTCTGATGACGTATCCATGGTGAGATTGATAGCTAGAAAATTTAAGGGATAATCGGATTTATGAATTTTATCTAGAGATTTGGGGTGAATTTATAAAAAAAATTATACATTTGCAAATAACATATTAGTGAATGAAAATGGAGAAAAGGCTTTCAGCGAGTTGGGGACACTAATAGTTAATAACTATAAAAATTGCTTGAAAATGAATGCTAAACACAATATTGGACAGATAAATCAGCAATGTTGATAATATAGTAATAAGTAGTGGCCAATATTAAGGTAGAAATAAATTTATAAAAAGAATTGTCAATAAAGAAGTTTGATAGATTCCTCCAACCTTTTTTCTATTATAATATTAAGGCCAAGAACTAATTTTTTTTTAAAACATCTATATTAATTATCACCGAAGTGAAAGAAGATGTTTCGATGTGATATATCTTTCTAATTTTATTATTATCTAAATTGAACGTTTATTTATTTTTATTCAAGATTAATATAATATTCCAAATTTACATTTTTAGATAATCTTGAAAATTTTAGTCCTATTATTACTGCAACGCCTATTTAGCTTGCGCAAGTGATAATATGGAAAAATTTAATCAATTTTTACATTGGAAATGGTATAATAATTATTACAAATTAAAATATCAAAAAATTAGACAATAATAATCTATAAATTTTTTTATTTATAGTTTATTCTAGTATAGACGTAAGAAAATATTGGTTTTTCTTTCTTTCCTTCTAAAAAAACAACCTATGTAAATTTTAACTTAAGGAAAATTTAATAACGTATGAGATGGGATCTAATATTTCCAATTATTCAAAAAAGTATTTGTTTAGGAAATTATTTGATTAACCTAAATTATTTTCAAGGTAAATGTTTTTATTGGCTCACTCCCACTTATTTTAATATAATTTCTCTCTAATTAAATTATAAACATTCGATCCATATATATATTTATTTTAAAAAAATAATATTTTATTGATTTTAAAATTGAAATAACATTTATAATATTAAGTGTGCCAAATAAATTGTATAATTGATTTTTAAAATCTATTTATCGATACTAATATCATAATTTTTAAAGGAATGAGTAAATGGTCATATTAAAATAAAACCGAGTTAAGAACAATAATAAATCTAATTTTCCAAATATAATATAATTTTGGTGTAAATAAAATACTCTTTCTAAATTTTATATTATGTTTATTTTAAGCCTGCGTATGAAGCCTAATTTTTTTAAAAAAAATTAAGATGTATATATTATATAATTTTAAACAAAAAAATAATTTTGGTTAATTTTAAGACCATCTACTATTGTAAAGAAATTATATCTTGACCTTTATACCATTTTATTTCCCGGTTAAAGTTTGGGTAATCTTATGGGCCGCCGATTCGACTCCCTCTGCAGCGGATTTAAGTCCGTCCTTAACCTTTTGAGCCGCGGACGTCACTCCTTCCGAAATGTTCTCGGTAAAAGTGTGCCCACCAGCGTTGGCCTTATCAGCTACGTTTTGGCCGGCGTGTTTCATGGTATCAGATACATTTTGCCCGGCGTGTTTCACGGTATCAGCGGCTTGTTTAGCCCCATGTTTAAGGTTCTCTCCAGCTTGATTAGCCCCGTGCTTTATATTTTCCGCCGCATTATGACCCGTTTGTTTAATGCTATCAGACACGTTCTGACCCGAGTGTTTTATGCTATCAGACACGTTCTGACCCGAGTGTTTTAGTTTATCGGAGGCTTGCTGAGCTCCGTGTTTTACGGTTTCTGCACCGTGCTTCATATTTTGACCTGCCTGATCCAACCCATGCTCTATGTTGTCGGATATTGTATTCGCGCCGCTCTTAGCGTGTGATTGGCAGGCTCCTACTCCTTGTCTGAGACCTTGACCGGCCTGATTGATACCGTGCTCGATGTTATCCGATATGGTGTTGGCTCCAGACTTGGCAGAGTTTTGCGCCTGACTTATGCCGCTTTGAAGATTGCTCGCTCCCTTGTCAATTTTATTGCCGCCCTCTTTGAGACCCCTGCCGATGTCGGATCCGATTTGGTTTATCTTGTCACCCACGTTCTTTGATGCTTGGTTAGATTTATCCATTTTTCCGTATTTTTTGGTTCTAAGCGATTATGAAATAAAATAAATAAAAATAAAATTATCATAAAAATATAAGGCATCTGTTTAACACGTTGCGGGAAAAGGCATAAAAGCTATTTACGATTTTGAATAACTTTTTTTGCAAAAACTTTTATAATTTTATGGCGATTTTTTTCTAATTCGTAAACGATCATTAATAGTGTTGTTAAACGTCTCATTTTGAGCCGATTTTTCAAAACGGCTAACTCGATATTTTAGCCAGAAAAATATTAAGCCTCGAGATTTCGATTTTATATATCTAAATCTTTATTCCTTCTATGATCAAAATATCCAGGCTTGGCTTATATTTTTCTGGATGAAATATTGAGTTAGCCATTTTTAAAAATCGGCTCAAAACGAGCCGTTTAACAACATTAATCATTAATATTTCATAGCGTTATAAAATTTTAATCGCTCATTGAAATTTATATTCTAAAAAAAATAAATATCTTGATTATAGCTGATTTACGGTTAAATTATAATATAAAATATATTGTAATACATACTTGATTATGATTATGAATTTAATTCACCCAAATGTAAAAAGTTTCGAATTTTAAATTTAAAAATAAAAATTATAGCTCTATAAAAATAAGATAATTTGTTTACGGGAGATAAAAAATAATATTTTATGGCCTTGAGGTTAGTTAAATTTGGCTCTAAAAATGGAAATCATTATTTAAACAGAATGAATAATTATAGAAAAAATAATTATTTTTTTTAAAAAAAAATATATATAAATTAATAGATTATTGAAAATCGATAAAACGATATTTAGTCTTAAATAAAAAATTTTTAAAATTATATAGGCGGGGAGTGGTTTCAAAATTATGCTATTATAAATACGATAGTTTAGAAAATCATTAAGAATAGAAACCAACTCGACCTTACCTTGTGCTACAGCTAAAATAAACTGAAAAGGTAAGTATATTTAATAAAGAATCAATTACTCTAAAAATATTTTTTAATATATCATGTCAAGGACGGGTGTATGACCTTGGATATTTTTTATGTTTACTATTATAAAAAAAAAATCGTTAAGATTTTACAATCGAGAAACTTAGGTGACACTAAATAAATAGCTTCTTTAAAGCAGTTTTTTTAATATAAGACTGCTTCCATACCCCTCTTAGGCAAACTTATCTTAAAAGTTGTTTTTTAAAAAATTTACACATTGAAATTGAAATAAACGACTAAAGAAAACTTGGATGGGGTCGGTTTGATCCGGTAAAATAAGAATGTGTTTGGGAGGAGGGGTTAATAAGATATGAAAATAAATGATGAAAAATATGCTTGCATCTGACAATAGATTTGAACACATTCATACCAAGCCTGGGTAGGACCTAACCCTGCCTTACCTGTAGGTATATTAATTGGTGATTTGCATCGGGCAAAGCTTTTCAACCCCGGTCCTGCCCGTTTTAAATATAGGAAAATTTAATTTCTTTTTTAAAAAAAAAATTGGCGTCTTGTGTCTTGCAAGAATTTTATTAAATATATCAAAATGGTCCGAGATTGGCAGATCTTTCATCTGAATAAAATTTAAGGAAAAGTATGGTTTAATATAATTATAATACTCACATTTGATAGAATATAAATCGTTTCATATCATAATAAAGAGAAATATTTTTTTTGTTGTGATTATAATTATTTTTGGCGCAAAAACCGTAATTTAGGAAAATCACAATTACTATGCAGTTTTTTTATTTTTATTTTTTTTAAGGTTAACTATATTTAGTTTTATTTTAAATGCTAATTAAAAAAAATGAGATTGCAATGCTTTGTGCGGTATGGAGGATTGTAAGTTAGAGAAACTGCTTACTTTTTGAGAGTATGGAGATTTGTGGGTTAGGGAAGCAGCAGGTTGCTTTTTGGGGGGTATAGAGATTTATGGGTTAGGGAAGCAAGTTAGTATTATTAGAGGGTGAGGAAATAAAAAATATATAAAAATAAGAAAAGAATATGGTAAGGAATTTCGTTTTATAATATATACAAATAAATATAATTATATTATGAATTATAAATAACTTTCGCTTTTAAATAAGTGGTAATCAAAAATATGTGGTTGGGAAATTGTAATATATTATATAGATGAATTAAAATAAATTTAGCATTAAGGAATTCTTATATAACCGGTCTTCTAAAAAAAACGATACAACTATTAAATACTATTCTTACTTTTAGATTTTTTGTAATAACACTATTAACCCAATATGCGGCACTAATGATTCATTACTAACCAGCACCACCATTCTCTTTCTTTCTTTTTCCCTTTAAGATTTAATGGTTAAATTGCTCCTCTCATCGTACACGTGCACTCATTTAGGGTGTGTGATATATGAATATAACTTTAACCGTAAAAACCCTCTTAACCCTATATGTCACGTGATTTGTAGTTATTATAAATCTCTGACTTCCGTCAAAATTCTTCTCATCTATCTTTGACTTCCGTCAAAATTCTTCTCATCTATCTTTCTTATCCGCTTCAGCCATTTCCTAGGTTTGTTTTCATTTTTTATCAAAAAAAATCTTAATTTCCTATCCTGTGTAAACTTTGACATTATTTAAAATTTATTAAGATTGTATTCTTGTATTTTGTTAGATATATTGTTGTTAAACGGCTCGTTTTGAGCCGATTTTTAAAAACGGCTAAATCAATATTTCATCTAGAATAATATCAAGCAAGCCTGAAGATTTTGCTTGTAGAAGAAACAAAGGTTCTGACATCTATTGGCAAAATCTCATGGCATGGGCAATATTTTTCTGGTTAAAATATTGAGTTAGTCGTTTAACAACACTAGTTGGATAGCATAAAATTGGGTGATTTAATTATTTTTTAAAAAAATATTACAAAATATGGTTTAAGATCTTAACGCTTCCACGGGTCAAACAATTTCGAGTTAATCTTTACGAAATTTTTGCATCGATATATAGATAATTACGAAATTTATCTTTCGAATGGCAGCTGGGTTTATTTTTAAAAAAAAATTTTTTTTGATCCTTTTATATGGTTTCTACTTCACACTAATTGTTTGATTTTACACTCATTAGGAAAATTTGAAAGGTACATAATTACATTATATTTATATCAAGATTATAAATATAAAAATAATAAAATAAATGCCATAATTAATATAATATACACCAATAATTAATTTGTTATTCCGAAAAATAAAAATTAAAAAATGGTGACATAACTTGATTATGAGATTTAGATAAACAAAATTTGCATTTTAAGATTTGCATTTAAAATTAATTACTTTTGTATAAATTAATTCATAATTTTGGTTTGTAACTTTAATAAAAAGTCCTTCGTTAAAATATAATATATATTCTATATATTCCATAGGAAATAAATGCAATTTTAGATATAAAAAATAATCCAGTTATTTTAAGATATTCACCTGGGATCGTTCATATATTTGTTTTCCGGTGCTAATCAATTTGAAGTTGTCTTGGCATTGATATTTGAAAAGAATATTTTTTTAAAAAAATTGGTTTTACAAATACAAGGAAAAAACGTGATCATAAAACATGATAAAATTAGTGTATCTGGGACTTGGCATGGGAGCCACTGATAGAAGGAAATCAGTATGTTGAATAAAGTTGCTCAATAATTTTTAAAGTTATGCTTTTTTATTTGAGTAATCAATATTTTTGAATAAATTGTTTGTTTTTATGTGTGAAGATAAATATATTTATAACAAGTTGTTAGACGTTAGAAAGATTATTTAATTGTGTTGTGTGATTGTTTATATTAAATGTAAATTTATTAATAGGTTCTAGAAATCTGAATTCGAAAATTGGATCTAAAACGTAAATTTTGTATTCATCAGAGACCTGCAAAGGAAACCATTTGCACGGCCCAGTCAGATATTTTTAAAAATTATTTTTCGGCCCGGTCCGGGTTTTATATTTTCAGGTTAGCTCGACAGGTATTATTTTTTTAAAAATGTTAAGCCGACCCAGATGCATAAAAAAACCTATTTTTAAAAAGAAAATTAACTAACAATAAAAAATTTACCAATTCGCCATTTTACGATTCGTTTTTGAGCTAATATAAACCATTTAATAATTTTTAAAATTATTTCTGTTATAAAATTAAAGAAGACCACAATTTTTTTTTACCGGTTAGGGCATAAAAATTGGAATCCTGCCCCGTGGCATCGTTATTTCAGCACTGCAATGTAAGAAACAAGGATTCGTTTGTTCTACAAGTTTGACTATAACGGTTCAGATAAATGGTTTAGTAAATCATAACAAAAGTTGAACTATTTTTATATTCTATTCAAAGAATTATGATTGAATATGGAATCAGAGTTTCAGAAATATTTTTACTATGATACATAATGTATTATTGGCAAGTTGGTCAATTGACCTTTCAAATTTAGTCAATTGATCTAAGAAGTATTTGATCTGGTCAAATAAGGTTAAATATTCTAAAAAATCTTTAAAAAAATAACTAAAAATATGTTTGAAAAAAATAAAAAAACGATATAAATACAGGTAATCAGAATACTGCTTTTATTGAGTCCCCAATGTCAAAGGGAGTATCGTACTAGTAGTGAATTTAATGAAATATGTCATATAATACAAGAATTAGGCATTTTACAAAGTGGTGATGATCAAAATATTTCGAAGGATATCAAAAATTTCAGAAGTAAAAGCGGCCAGTTTAATACCAAATTATGTGGAAAGCATTTACTTCATAATAAACAATCAGATTTCGGTCACAAGTTAGTTGGGCTTCACCTACCATTTTTATTAATAGAAGTGGCATTTAACTAACACCTATTTCTACTCCTTCTTCAAAAAGAAATTGTTCGATTTGGGTTTATTTTCTTACGAAAAATATAAATCGATTTAAGATCTCGATAACAGCAAAATGGATTAAAAAATATTAAAGAAAATGATAATATTGAATATGCATCAGAACAAGATTTTGCCATAGAGAGCGAAACATTAGTTATTGAATTACCATGAATTTAAAAAAAAGTTATCGGTCAATCTACCGAGTCATATTTACCAATCAAATACACAACCTGGTTTTATCTGCATCCTATCTAAGTCATAAGTTAATTTTTTTAAATTTCATATAATAGCCTAGAATACTTTGACAACGGACTTATAAACGATTCTCTTAAAAAATGTTTTATTTTTAAATTTATTTATTCACATAATTCATTTGAGTAGTATAGAAGGCTTTATCCTTAATAGGAAAAAGATTAGAAAATATTCCCTATGATCTGATACCATTTTTTTTATTTCATATATTATTATGGAAAATATATATTGCATTGGTTGAATTCTTATGCGATTTAAATAATACAATCAAAACCGCTTACTTGCATATCGCTTAAGTGCAAATATTTTTAAACGCGAAATATATCCACCATTCCGTTAAAAATTTATAATGACATAATTTATAATATATTTTTAATTGCAAATTGGTTAATTGCGAAATATCGGTTAGATGCGAAAAATTTAAGGTTCTATTTATATTTTAACAACGCTATTTCTATCGAATAATTGCGAAGCGACGATATATTTAATTGATTAACCATAAATAATTAAAAAATTATTTTTGAATTTACATCAATCCATAAGGCTTTTTAACAACACTATCTGCAGCCACCTATAATTATAAAAATTGTAGATATTTTCA